AGGCTTTAGGGTTTTAGGGCTCAGTTTTAGGGTTTAGGGGATTAGGGTTTGGGGTTTAGGGATTAGGGGTTTAGGGTTTGGGGTTTTGGGTTTAGGGATTTAGGGGTTTAAGGTTTGGGGTATGGGGTTCTGGATGTTTTGGAAGCGGGTTCGGGGTCTCAGGCCATTGCCGGGTTTGGGTGTCGAAAGCCTGTCCTAAACCTCCCCCAAAACCCGAAATTCCCTAAACCCCGAACCCTAAAACCCTATCAAAATCTACAACCTGAGAAAGCCTCAAACCCTAAAATTTGGCAAAAGAAACCTTCTAGAGCCTTTCGGCATACTCGAAGAATATAAAAGCCACAGAAAAAAACAAGTAAACAAATAGAACAACCCAAAGCTAGAACAAGCCAAAAAAGCCGAAGCCACAACCCCGAAAACCTCTGAACACCCTAAACCCTAAAACCCAAAACCCCTAAAAACCCCAAACCGAAAACTCTAAACCCTAAAACGCTGAACCTGAACCCCGACCCGAAAACACCAAAAGTCTGACGCCTCGCGGCCCCCGGAAGACGTGCCGCGGCCGAGCTCGGGGGCGAGGGCGTCGTGGCCCCAGTGGAAGCGTCGGCAGTGCAGGCTGCCTGGGGTTCCAGAAGGGTTTCGGGTTTAAGAGTTAGGATTCAGGGTTGGGGGTTCAGGATTAAACCTGGGGTTGCTTTGAACGGTTCTTGAAAGGGGTATAATATCAGGGTTCTATAAGAAGGCTTTCAATGAAGGGCCTCAGTAGCTGGTGGTAAGTTAGTGGTCCTTGTAATTGGGATTTTTCAGGTCTCGTGATCGGTTATAGAAACGTTGCTGTTGGTGTTAACGGTGGTGTGCGTTTGTTTAATGGTCTTGTCGGATGTAGGTGTTTGGGGTTTGGGTTTGGGTTCACCTCTGTTGGACTTCAGAGTTGAGGAGTTTCGGGTTTTAGGGTTACGAGCTTGCGATGTTCTTAATTCAGAGGCTTTCAGCACTGCGTGCTGAGGGCTCTACGTGCTGTGCTAATTAGCTCAAGGTTATGGGACTGCGGGGGCCATGCACCTCGAGCTTGATTTTGCCAAGCATAGGCATCCTAAAGGTCCACAGGACCCAACATGTAGGTGTTTGAATGCATATAGCCCGGCGTTCAGGTTCGAAAGCATCACTCTATCTGCCGAGAACGCCGCAAATCCGCCTCGAGGATTCTCGGATGGCGCGAACAGCGCGAGGATTCCAACAATAACTATACAAACCAGCAAAGCGCACGCAATAATTACACACACACACGCACACACTGAACTTGCAAAAGCACTCAGACACGGACAAGAAGGTCCGATCTGATCGCATGAACCCTTATTCACGCGGCTGCCTGCTCCTTCTGCGTCTGTTCCTTGGGGGCATCGGTGAGGCGGTTCATCCGCCGTGCGTTGCGCTCGGCCAAGAATCGCGCCTCCACATGTTGGCAAAGCTTGTCGGGGTCCGGTGGCATAGAATGTTAAACTGTGGTGCTAATACTGAGACGGTAGCGTCTTTTGTGTCGTATACAACAAGTAGGATGTAGTGTGACATGCTGTGCTATGTTTTTTCACCGTCCTCTGACAGCGCTGCTCGGTTGTCCTCGGCTGTCAGTCCCTTTCTGAAAAGTTTAGTCTCCATGCTTTCACCAGCGTTTTCCAGAGGTGCCAAGTGCGTCCGAGCATGACCGGCCAGGGTTTAGTGGTGTCTGAACTGACAGGGGGTCCCGCTACCTTCAACTCTGCTTCTTAAACGCCCTGACGTCAGCAACGCAGACTTCCTCCAAGACACCGAAGATTGGAGTGTATGTAGGCTTAGAATTTAGAATCTTTCTGCTCAATGTCGGTATGGACCGGGCTTCAAACTTCAAACATCTCCACAAGAAGACTATGGAACAGGCCTCGATGCCTGAACTGAAAGAGCACCCTTCCCTCCAACAACCATTCCGACTGCACCGAAACGAATTCCCTAAAATCAGAAACCTGAAGCCCTGAGCCCTATAAACTCTAAACCCCCCATAAACCACGATCTACCCCTCCTCAACAACCAAAAGACACCCCTCATAGATTCCCATCTAGTCTGGAACCCGGTGAAAAACAAAACATGGCACCTGCTTGCGCTTCTCCTCGATCCGCTGCGCCTGGGGCCGGAACCCACTAAGCTCGCTTTGTAGATAAGGGTTCCTTTGTATGAGGTCTATACAGGAAACTACCTGGGCTTTGTTTGTGAGTGAGTGGAGTGAAGTGGAGTGGAGTGGAGTGGAGAGGAATGGAGAGGAGTGGAGAGGAGTGGAGAGGAGTGGAGTGGAGTGGAGTGGAGTGAGTGAGTGAAAGACTGAGCGACTCTCCTGGACATGGGGCGCGCAGGTAGCCTTGCCTATCGGCTCCCTCCCGGCTTCCCAGGAGGCTCTGCAAGCGTCCTTGCCCTCTCCACGTGGAATTCACGCTAGTTCAGGACACAATGTTCGAAGGCCAGCAGATGACCCGGTTAAGCATGAGCGCATGCTTGCAGACGCAAGGAGCAGCAACTAGGCAGGCCCGCCAGCGGCTAACCGGCACAAGGGCAAGACGCGCCATCCTCGCGGAAGTTCTTGCGACAAGCGCTCTTCACCCGAGAGTCTCCCATCATGGTCCTGAGCCAAACAAGCAACGTCGCCTTTACGTTGGGCTGTGCCCGGCCGTGTACCAGTGTTGGCGAGCGCGCTTCACTGTAGATCCCTCTACAGGTATTGGGTGCATGACGCGACCCGTGTGGCACTTTGCTTTCCCAAGTACTCACTCAGTCGCCACCATTTCCTGCATAAGGGGGAATGGCAAAGCTCCATCCATCCCCCCACAAACAGGTCCCACAACATGCCCTCGGACTGAACAGGTGAAGGCTAAAGCTGTGACCAACACCCGCTTCGGAGGGTTGTAATGTAGTAAATGTAAAGAAGCTTGGCACTTTAGCGTACAGGGTCCAAGGATGAAAGGGCTGTTGGAATTCTATTGGCTGTTGGGTTCAGGCTTCTGGCGTTTAGGTGTTCGCCTCTCAGATCTGGGAGTGATGGGGTGAAAAGGCTTCCGGTGCAGGGCATTCAAGGAGACAGGTTTGGCGGATGCAGCAGGGGTACTAATCTCCAGCTACTTTAAAGTACTACACAATGCTGGCTCCGTCAGAAGCTTGAAAGTTTCGGGCACACCATCTTCTTCCAAGCAGCAGTGGCTGTTGACTAAATGCTTGCAGGGCAGTCTGGCTTATGTAAGGCATGACAGAAGATGAGTATGCATCGTACCGCAAAACAGGAACCCAGACATCTAGCTTAGCCCAGCAGAATTTATGTAAAGCAGACCAGAACACTGCAGTAAGCCCCGCCCCACAGAACACACTGCAGCATCACAGAAGTTGCAAGAACGAGAAGTACATAGAGAATATAGCCAAAATGCTGAGGAGCCCAATGTCGGGATCCCGAACTCGCAAAACAAAAAACCCAAGAGTCTTTAATCCTGAAGCAATATCCTGACAGAAGCGAATGGAAATGGTTTCAAGCTAGAGGGTTTAGGGTGATTCACCTGGGACAACGAGGGCTGCTGTGAACCCTACCCAGACCCCAAACACCCCGCCCCAAAGTCTAGACCTCTAAAACCCTCAAGACCAGATCTCAACCCTATACCCGACAGCCTCGGATCTCAATCCCAAAGCTCTGAGCCTTAGACCCTCCGCCCAAAACTTGAACCCGCTTCTTGCAAGCCGAAGGCCTACCTGTTAAGGGCCCACCGTATGGTGGTCTTCACAACGGGGCGCTAAAAAAGCCCAAAGAAATACGGATTGCTTGGGCTGCAACACTAAACCTCGAACCTTAAACCTCAACCATAAACTTCAAGCTCAAATCCTAAAACCCTTAACCTCTAAGCCCTGCAACCCCCACCTCAATCTCGGCGGTGCTCATGGCTTTCCCACCAACACGGACTGCGGAAGCCGCCCGGGGCACGTTGGGGCTGCCTCGAGTATGAGCTGGTCTCGGGCTTACCGGGTTTGAACAACAGATGAAGCAGGGGTTCTGTAAGACCTTATAAACTTGGTATACATACATATATACACACATATATACATATATACATATATACATATATATATATATATGTATATGCACATACATACATATTATTTATATATATATATACACACACACACCTGAATATACAAAATACATACACTGATGCGTCTGTATGCATAAATAAATACATAAAAAAACTAGATAAATAAATAGACAAATACATATATATATAGATGTGTGTGTGTACATGCATGCATGCATACACGAACACAGAGAGAGAGAGAGAGACAGACAAACAAACAAAGAGGGCAGTGTACATACATACATATACATCTACATCTACATAATCTACATCTACATCTACATTTACATCTACATGTACATGTACATGTCCACACACACATATATATATATACATACACATATATATATACATACATCTACAGCTGCATACACACCTGTATATATGTCTAGATAAACAACCAAACGAGTAAATACACATTTCTGTGTATGTGTATATATATATGTATATATATATGTGTGTATACACATGGCTGTGAGAAGTTGAGGGCTCCACTCTGTGAGGGTTCGTGCGCTGCTCAAACGGTTCCTCTTCGAACTCGGTGTTCCTCTTGTTGGGCGGGCGGGGGTGTCCTGCAACTTGAGATTCTGCCACTCATGGGTCTCGTTTGGGCTCCGTCAATAATTGAAACTCTGATTTACTGGAGCTTGCAGCTAAGGCTTTGGGGCGCCTAAGGCTTGCAGGGCCTTGGGTTGTTGGGGGAGGGTTCTACTTGGAAGCTCATGGAACATGGGACTTGAAGAACATTTAGAGAAACCAAAGTGGCTTTGATGCTGTTCAACTGTAAACCCTGAACCCTTGACCCAGGAACTAAAATACAGCTATTATCATCGTTTACAGCCACAAGTCAGTCACGTGCTTGTAACCTTACTTGATGAGTCCCAGATCCTCCCCAAAAACCCATGAACACCCTCGAAAAGCCCGCATAGAACCCAGACAAAACCCTAGAAACTTACCTACTAAGTCCCTGATCCTCCAAGGAAGACATTCCGACAAGCGGCCGGTCTTTGTAGCCGGCTTTTCCAGCGTGGCTGCCTTGGTGTTTGCCGTCGGCGATGCCTGTGAGTATGTTACAGCACGAATTGTTCAAGGGTTCTGCAAGGGTTTCTATAGGGGCAATGGGTTGCGGGTTGAGGGGCTTGGAGATGCCAGGTTTCAGGGGTCTCGAGTTTAGGGTTTGCCAGCATCTAGGAGTTAAGGTTCGTGGCTTCGGGCTTCGTAAATGTAACAAAACTATAGACTAATGCTTATAGCAATAACAATAAATAATGATGATAATAAGAATAAGAATAATATTCATGATAGTATGTGTGTACATATATAAATCTACATATGCACACATTGGGTCACGAAACGAGGCCTTAGAATCCACTGACCGCGTCAGCGTCGCTGAGGCAGACTTCGTCAACAGCGTCTTCCTTGGGAGTCTCTGTGCTGGGAGCCCAAAAGAACACTCCGAACAGACCGTCTTGAAGGTACATGGAGGTATTGGGGTAGAGCCCTTAGAGGCCGTTTTAGGGTCTAAGGTGGTCAGGTTTGCTTTGAGGATCAGGGTATTCAGCGGCTAGGGTTATAAAGAAGGTAACAACAGCGATTCTTACCTAGCCGCAGGGTTATAAAGAAGGTAACAACAGCGATTCTTACTTAGCCGCAATCAGTAAGTACGGCATAAGGGTATCAGGACGGCAGCTTGGGCCAGAAGTATCCGAACTGCTCAAGGGCAGTGAGGCTTAGAGCTGTAGGCGTTTAGGAGTTAAGGATTGGAGGATATGGGGATGTAGGTTTCTTCCAACCTCCAAAATACAAGTGCGAATATCTTCGACGGAGTATCGAATGAGTACCTCGGGCCTTCGAGGTAGCTTCAGGAATGAGGCGTGGAATTTCCGGTATTTACGGTAGTCCGGAAAACTTTGCAATCAAAGGCTTAGCAGGTTTTCTAAGGTTTGCAGGGTCGAGGCTGCGGAACGTACGGCTTGAGGGGGTTCAACATTGGCGGTGTAGCTCGGCTACTCAGGTCGCGCAGGCTTGCCTCCGAGACACTCACTGGGCTTGCGTTGTTCTGTAGCTGCCGCGCTACATGCCTTCTGATGTTCAACATTCAACCCCAGACTCCAACCACTAAATCACATTCACTAAACCTTTGAACCCTAAACCCGGAAAGTGTCTATTGCAAGTTTGCACGGAATACGTTGGAAAGCGCCTCGGAAAGGTGCATTGGCTTTCAGATTAAATCGCAAGTGAAAAGATCAGCTTGAACGTGGTCGTCAACCATCAAACTCCAGATGGTCGTGATCATGGCGTGGATATTAAATGTCGAGAGCAATACCAATGCCGACCTTGGTGCTGAACTGAGGTGGTATATACCCTTTCTCAACATGTCGCCCGAAGCCAAACCATTCGCGCAAGTGGTGATCTTGGGCAATGCTACAATCAGGATCCCGCAACGCAAAACCCGCGAGGACAAACATCATGTTGCAAGCCAGAAGCTTGGTCAGAGATGGCACTGCCTGGCATGTGAAGGATGAGTGATTAGTGCTTTCATGCTTTCGAGTGTGGGGTGCTGAACCCTTCGGAAGACTGACCTTTGTTGAAGCAATCCAGACATGGGAGCTCCGCGGTGTTAGCCGTTAGCCCTCCACTTAAGGGCACCTTCTGCACCACCCTAAACCCTAAACCCTAAGCCCCAAACCTGCTAAACTGTGGGGCTCCTCTATAGATGCACCTCATCCAGAGGACCGCGCCTACTACGGAAGGCCATGAGGACAGGGACGTACAGCCCCCTACTTCTTGAACCCAGCAACAGAACTTTTAAGACAAATCCGCCCGAAGCTCCGAGAGCGTCGCGTGGACTTTTTGAGGCCCCCGCCTCCCGTACTATGGTGAGGGTGTCGCATAGCTGTTCCGAGCTTGACGGTTGCGGCTTCACGGTCGGAGGTCACTGAATCCATGCTGAACCCAAAACCTTGACTTCCACACGAAACCGCAACTTGCAGCCACAGAAACTTGACTTTAAACCCTCAGCGCAATCCCAAGACCACTCCAGTCTACCCTCTGAATCCGGCAACCTGTGCGACCTGAAGTCCCAAATCCCGCCCTCCCCCTTGCCCCTTAAGTCCGAATCCCCAGAACCCCCTACTTTGGCCCGAAAGGCTCGCCCGTACGGAGCTGTACCTGACATCGCAGGATTTCGCGTGCCGCTTTCAAAAGCGAGCTCTGCTGTTCCAGAACGCGAAAAATCTGCGAACCGTACCGGGCCAGATCTGTGGAGGCGTACGGCACCATAGTGGAGAACAGTATAAGGCTAACAGATGCTAACAGTAATGCTTCGTAGTGACACTACATGTCGAAACTTATGAGTTGAATGTAAGCCGCAAGCTGCGGCAACCGGTGGGGCTTCAGGCTCCATCGTGGCCAAGGTCTAATGCACTGACCGATATTACTAAGCCCAGTTGGCAGTATCTCGCCAACTTGACTTCTGCACAAAAACGACTCCCGCATGAATGCAGTGTGCGTTCGGAAACGGCATGCTGCTGGCTGTCCAGGCAGGACGTCCTGGACGCCAATATTCACAGTCATGCAAAGCTTCGGGAGTTGAGCGCTCCTCTTCGGGTATCGTTATGCACTCCTCCTCACTGTCCGGGCCTCCCCAAGCATGGCTCTCTGCATCCTCGTCCAGCCTCAGGCCAGTACCTCCCATGATGAGAACATCGCCGGCCGCACCTCCCATCACAACAACAGGCCGCATCCTTGGCTTCAAGAGCGGAGGAAGTCGGCACCACGTCCCTGATGCCAAATTGAGCACCTCGACTGTGTCCAGAAAGTAGTAGCGTCCACTTGTGATTTCAAACTCTGGGCATTCTGTCCCACCGCAAATGAGGAGCTTTCCTCCTACGCCGGCAGCAGTACCACCCCAACGAGCGGTTAGCATCGGCGGAATCGGATACCAGGTCCCTGTTACGACATCAAAACACTCTGCTTCGCGGACTGGCGTGCTTTGATCATCGTACTCGCCATCAGCATCCACTATGCCTCCGCAAGCGTAGATTCTGCGGCTCACAGCAGCTGTGGCAAATCCACGGGTCACGTGCTGTCTGCAGGACAAAGCAGTCCACTGCACAGCGTCAGAACCACCAGTATCACATGAACGTCCTGAACTCCCAGCCGCATCAGACTTGGGTAAGGGTATGGAATACAAGACGGGCTCGTCGTCATACATCAAGTACAGCCTGCCGTGTGCAGATGCTGCAAGCAACACTGCATCACCGACCTCCCGATCGGGCAAGCTTTGCAGGGAGGCACAGCGGCTCCACTCCAAGGAATGGAAGTCGATTCGATGTATCTCCGCCGTCCCTTCCAAAGACTCTGCTGGCACTCCCAGGACGTACATCGAAGTGCCGGCAATACTCATGCTCGAGTGGGGCCCTCGACCGTTGCACTCAGGGCGAACTGGGCACCGAATTTTCCTCTGCGCTGATCTTTGGGCCAGCGTGGTGGAGAACGAGATGCCTTCCTCCTGACGGGGTCACTCAAGAACTGCTTCCAAAGAAACTCGCTCTGTTTGACCTCCCCTCCGCACATCCATCGGCAGAATCAAAAGATCAACATCAGTTGGAATGGATACGGAACATAAGGCCCATGCGAAAATCAAGCTGACTGTGCAAACAAACAAAGGTCCTGAGCCACCCCAAGCTGTGGCAGGCTGGTCAGAACCGCATCAGCTGCAATGTCTCCGTCTTCAGTCACCACGCCCCAGCAGATTTTCGGGTCAAACTCGACCCTGAAGCGATCGCTTCTCGATTTGCAGATCATGCTCAGAAGCCGCGATGGCGGGGAGGTGCCTGCGAGCTCGGCCACGATGTCCAGCACGGCATGAGGCAGCTCATGCAACCAAGGCATGGGTGCGAGAGCGCTGTCCACAAAGGGTTTCGGGGGGTTTGAGGGCGTCGTTTCAAGGGTCTTGGATGGGTTATGAGATTTCAGGTCCGGGGTTCAGGGTGTCAGGTTTGGGGTTTGAGGGCTTTGTGTGAGAGTTCGGGTTCGGCTTCGGTTTCGTGGTGAGCTATCTGCCTAACGCAGATGGGCTGACAACCCAGCAGTTTTGGGTTTCATAGTATGATTATACGTATCCGCACTTGCTCAACAAACGTGGTTTAGGTTTCGAAGCAACCCGGAAATGCACTCTTGCGTGTGTCTGTGTATCCAGCAGCAGAGCGCCTGTGGAACCTTACAAAGCCCTCTAGGACTCTAGGACCAACCAAAGCCTTGACGAACCCTGCACCAATGCCACCTGCACCCCGGGCTTCTGCGCCGCCGATGTGCCCGTCACAGGCGAAATCGCCGGCGCCGTGTGGCGAGGCCGGCGCAGCTGGATCTGAAGCCGACAAAAGCAGCGTGTAGGGTTGAGCGTTCAGGGTGTAGGGCCTAGGGTTTTGGAATAGGACCTGGGTGAGATTATGCGGAAATCACATAACGACTCGACTCGACCCCTTTTGTCATGTGTGAGGCTGTTGGAAGGACTTTGGAGGGTTCAGAACAGCAGGCGTGCCTCGTTTGAGGGTTCAGTTACCCTGCTATGGTGTTTCGGGCTCAGAGTTTATGGGATTACAGTCTATGATTTATAGAGATCTGAAGCGGGTAACGCGGAAGGGGTTTAAATGTGCTTATAGGGTTTGTTGCAGGCTTTGTCTGCAAAGCTTCACCAGTGTTTTTGATATGGCATTCGGGGTTTCAGGTTAATGGTTCGGCTGGACTTTCTGTGTGTGTGTGTGAGAGAGAGAG